GACTAGAAAAAAATCCATGTAATGAATCTAAATGAAAAGCAGTGTCTAATGGTAAGCTCATAATAATGATAAATTTATCATAAAATAGTTTAACAATAAGTAAATATTTTTAATGTTCAGAATAAACAATACTATTTTATTTCTTGTTATTATATATGAACAAAATCAGAATAAAACGCAATGTGTTTCAAGTGACATTGAGTTTTACATAATAGAAATTTAATGAATTTTACAGTTTAGTAATTATGAAAGTGGTGTAAGTCCATTTATGGCCCAGAAAGAATATATTAGTTTGGATAAATTCACATAGAAGTCTTTATGCAATCAACTTACATATTTCTAAAGTCATAGAAACATTGTCAAACTTAGTACACTTTGTTTATATTTTTGAATCAACTAAAATGCAAATGTTTAAATATCTCGAAAGAAGAAAAAATGGACTTACACCACTTTCAAAATAAACGGTCCATATATCCTCTCCATCTCAAATTAGTGGCTTGCCCCTACACATACATCACCCTTTTCCTTTAACAATACAGTTCTGCCTGTCATATCTCTGACACATTCCAGGGGAAGATTTTAATTGAAATAACGTTTATATAGTTAATTGGGGCCTTCTTTCACTAAGGTTTAAGGAAATTAAGGAAAAACAGATAGAATTTAAATTGCAGTCCAAAAAATCTTAATATGTAAATCTTGTTACTTTTCATAACTCGAATCATAAAACAAAGTAAAAATAGTTGAAATAATGACAGTGGCATGTTATAGCTTCACGAATCCCATTTGAATTTGAATTAGGGATGCCCCACCCAGGCAATTGCATTTTTTGTTCATAGGATAACACGCCACTGTTTAACAAAATCATCTTTTGTATATTTTTATTGTTAGATATACTGTTTTGTGTATAACATTACTATTGCAAATTTAAATTTGTTTATTAATAATTTTATACAACGTTATACAATATAGAAGTCTTATGTATTGTTATACAATACACAAGACTTCTATTCGTAAGAACTTTAATTAATGATACATTAATACAAAATAACACAACTTTTATATTCAAANGGTTACCAGTACTTTTCGCACAAAAAATGTGGGTGTAGTTACGATACCTTGTTTACAATTCAATAAAATATAATTGGGGTTCCATAATACCACCTTCTCCTCTACAGTTCTGCCTGTCATATCTCTGACACATTCCAGGGGAAGATTTTAATTGAAATAACGTTTATATAGTTAATTGGTGCCTTCTCTCACTAAGGTTTATGGAAATTAAGGAAAGACAGATGGAATTTATAGGTCTACAAATTGCAGTCCAAAAAATCTTAATATGTAAATCTTATTACTTTTCATAACTCGAATCATAAAACAAAGTAAAAATAGTTGAAATAAGTTAATGACGGTGGCATGTTATAGCTTCACGAATCCCATTTGAATTTGAATTAGGGATGCCCCACCCAAGCAATTGCACTTTTTGCCCATAGGATAACACGCTACTAGTTAACAAAATTATTTTTTGTATATTTTTATTGTTCGATATACCGTTTTGTGTATAACGTTA